TGTGGGTGTGGGTGTAGGTGTGGGTGTGGGTGTGGGTGTGGGTGTAGTTTATTTCATTATCTCCACCCACACCCACACCCACACCCTAACACAACATAAAGATCTCTATGAGGTGTGCATAAAGAAGACAAGAAACAAGATATTCCTTCACTAAGCAATCGCTGATGCACTTAATTTAAAAAAGATGTTATACAACTTACTGAAATCTATGCTTCTTCGTTAGTAGCAATAGTGTTGAAGAATGATTACTTCAGTGCTTGGAGGACTGCGTTAGTTCACAGGAGTTAAGTTAAATGTATTATTGAACAAATAAACAGGATTTTTCTTAAAAGTGCATATATGAAGCACTATTTGTTTCCTCAGCTATTGTTTTTTAGGACTCTCTTTGCGTATAAACATGAACTAGTCACTAAAATGCCCACTTTTCAGTTGCAACATAAAAAGATTATAAGCAAAAGCCATTGTATGAGTTTCAACTTTTTATCACCTTCGGAGATTACGGTGATAAGCTTCTTTCTGATATGTGTTGAACACATCTATATTCTGTAAGAGAATTTGATAATTTTTTGACAAAATCGATTTTGGATTTTAAGCGCAGCTGATTTGTCCTAGTAAATCTTCGATAAGATCGGACACGATATCAACTACTATCACACACCTTCTATGTGGTTATTCGGCGATCATTTAGAGTGCTACTGTCTTCAACGGAATGGGTAATTAGTGAATAGTTCTTTTCTAGAAAGAAACTTACAAGAACATATTTTAAAGATCGTATCAAGAGTTGAATAAAAAAACGCAATAAGAATAAACACAAATCACAAAGAGCTACTGAATTATACAGATTAGAATCGATACAAAATTTGACATAGATATTTGCTTTTTGCTTAGGCATAATCAGTAATGTCAAGCATCAAAAAGATGTTGCCAATGAATTTTTAAAAATGGGAAGTTACCTGAAGCATATTAAGACGAAAAAATTTGAAGGATTAGATGCATTATTTGAATTTCCGGACATCCATTTAGTGTCCTGTTTATGAAGATACAGTAGGTAATAGAGATATAGGAGGTATAGGAATTGATTTTTTCGAGCAAGGTTTGGCAAGTGGCACCGATATATTTTATGAATAGATGTTTAAATTCTAACACTATTGAATGATCAGCTGTACCAATTAATCAATATCTCCAATATCTGCTATACTTCCTTATACTTCCTTATACCTTCTATACCTCCTATACATTTATCACCTCCTATACCTCCTGTGCCTCCGTATACCTCCTATACCTCCTCTAAGCATCAACAGAAAGGGATACAAGCTTCCGGAAATTCAAATAACGCATCATACGATGCTCGTAGATTTACTTCATTGAATGACATTCTCATGAGTCAAGATAGAGAGAAAGTGTTATCTCAGTTGGTTCTTTCATAAAATGAATGTTTGTTTTCGAAAAGTCAATTATCGTTGTCGTATGTAATAGAGACGATAATTTACTATTGATTTATTATGGTTATCATTGTCAGACACCTCCAGCATTAGACGAAAATGAATTACAGTACACTGTTGAGATTTTCAAAATTCCTTACACAATCATGTAGTGTAGCAGAATGATATTTGAAAATTCGATCATTTAGTTGACTGTCTTGATTGATATATTATAGCTAAGAAGATTTTTTTTAAACAACGCTATAGAAAAGTTGGATTGTTGACATTTTCGATAGAGATTCTTTCAAGTCTCCTGGAGATTAATACTAAAAATTAAATCAGTTGATGACTTCTTTTGAATTGAATTAGATAGAACAGAGAAGTTCTCACATGAAACTAAGTGAATTAATTTTGAAAGTTCAACTCTATGTAGAAATGTTTCATTTTGTTCAGTTCCAATGAACAACTAGTATAGTTGACATAGGCTATCGTAGGTTCAGATTCCAGTAGTTTTAGGACCAATTCGCTCACGAGAATGTTTCAGCAAACGTCAACACGGTTCCAAGTACAACCCGATGAGAGATATCGTATGGCGAAAACCACACACCACCAGCATTCTCTATTCTGGAGACATCTGTAGCCGAACTATGTCGTAACATCTAATAACCAAACTGCAAGCCAATTTTCTTATTCTTTACGTCGATTCGCCTGACACAGGATTTCAACCAATATAAACAATTTGTCAAGTAGAACTCAAAGAGCTCTATCTGGTGGCGAAACCTGTATCTCAATAGAATAATTTTTTGTAATCTTGGGCCTGATTTAAATCCCATTTCCTTATTTCTGCAGTATTTGTTAGGCCGATTCGCCTGAGAGAATGTTCCAACGAATGTAAAATATGTTCCAACTGCTTTTTGATGTTCTTTATTCGTTCGTGAAAACTGCATATCAATAGAATTCTTTGTTCTTGCCGAATAGATGATACGCCAGCGCACTGAGCCATGTGAGGTCGTATTTATTGCGCTGACTCACTTGAAATGATGCTTCAACAAAAGTATTTTGTGTTTGAAGTGTTATTTAAGGTGCTCTATCGGATAGCGAAAATTGCATCTCAATACCATCGTTTGTTTTCTTGGAATAGAGGATACAATAGTCGAATTAGCCATCCGTCGCGCTACTTGTTAGACTAATGCACTTGAGAGAATATTTCAACAGGAGTGCAAATCTTCGAAGTGAGATTTGACGGACTGTATCCATCTGTGGAAACCACACCTGAATGGCGTCCTCTTTTACCATGAAAGCAGCAAACGATCGGTCGAATGAGTTCAATAGCTTTTCAGCACTACACTGGCCACCCGAAGGGAACAGAAGATGCTAGTCATATGCAATTTTTACTGTTCGATAAAGCACGTTAAATGGCACTTGGGAAACTTTTTGTTCTTGGAGCAGTCTGTCAGACGAATTACCAAAATTAATATCAGCCTAAAGGCATAAATGGGTACGGTTTTTGACGATGTCTAGAGAATAAATGTTCCTATTGAGATGCAGTTTTCACCAACGGATAGAGCACATAAGATAGCACTGGGAACACTGAATACTTCCGTTGAAACATTCAGTGAGGCGAATCAATCGACGAAATACTTTTTTTCTGAATTAATCCAATGGAAAGAAACCAAATATTTCAGTTATTTCTCGGTTAATGAAATGTGTATTGAGAAATGGTTTCCGCCATCTGGTAGAGTTCGTCGAGTTGTACTTGAGACAGTGTTTGCTTTTGCTAGAGCATTCTCCTGGACAAATCTACCCTAAAAATACTCGACTCTGCACCCCAGATAACCTACGTTGCTCGATTCACTTCCGACAAACTTTAGTTGCTTTACGTTTTGACCAATTCATCATTTATTACTCGATAAGAATAATCGTTTTTGTTAGAATAAAAACGAGAAATATATATGAATGAAGTGCAATACTAATTGAAAAGTTCAGTAACACTTGAAAAATATTTTCCAACATTTTCCAGTAGAGTTAATACAAACTTGATGCATATGTTTGGCATTCTTAGTTGTTACGTTTTCATATACTAGTTGGTCAAGCGAATACTAATATGTTAAAAGAATAAACAACACGAAACAAACAATCTCTAGTCGTGAAAATTTCCCTGACATTTTCAATTTCTC